AAAATATTTCTCACATGGAAGTAATTTACGCTACATGAGTAATAATTGAGAAAATAGAGACTCTTTCAGGCTGGTTAAACAATAACTTCCTCACGACTGTTTACAATCACCCTCCTTTTCATTGCAAATAGATCAATATTTTCCCATCAAACATGTCGCATTTGCTGTGTGTTCCATTCAGAACTATTCTCTGATTATTGATTATTGTGTCGGCGATGTAGAAAAAGCAGCCATGAAGAGAATTGGAGCACTTGGCGGCTCTCCGTGCGCCTATTTCTCTGTCTCTGCACAAGAACTTTAACCCTCTCGTCAGTTAAATTTCACATGAATTTTCAAAATTTTGATAATAACTGTCAATCGCAGATGAAAGGAAATAAATTTCTCAATTTAAAAGGTAATTTTTCATCCAAAAATATAGCCAATAATGTAAAATTTTACATACATTTCCAAAATTTCAGCATCTAATATCATTTGTCACTGTAAAAGTGCAAAAAAGTAAAAAATTGCATTTTCTAAGTTCAAAAATGACCATAACAAATTTTCTGCTGAAAAATCGTTTTACGACATTTTGTGTTCACAAATTTCTCATCACGAAAGGGTTAAAGTGAATTCAATGAACTTTTAGATGTGACAATCAATTGATTTTTTTCTCTCTGATTGCTTTCATTCGAGTGAAAGTGAAAAATATGCGATTTCTTGCCATTTTTTCTCTCCCCTCCACAAAAATTTTGCCTTCGCAGTGAATAAATCAGGAAAATCGCTCCCATAAATAACTGTCTCGCAAGTCTCACAAGGAAAGTTCAGATAAAGCTTTCATCCCCTGGAATATGTCCAACTGCGAAGACCAATTGAGAGTGAATATAAATTAGTATGGCGAGATGTGGACAATCGATAGCGGTGGATGAGTTTATTCATGAGGCGCCGATTCGCTTCACAACTGGGTTGCCACCCTCAAAAGCTCCCCACATTTGTCCTCAAACTTCCCTAACCTAGGATAATGACGTTTTTCCCATGCAGACGATTGTAGAGATTCTTATCCACAAACACGCGTTCACAAATATGTCTATAAAATTATGTGTTTTTGTTGGTAAAAATGATGGAATAAAGTGTAATAACAAGTTGAGAATCTGTTGGACAGTCGGAAAATCCTTCACAAGTTCATCCAATAGAAAAAGGAAATGAAGATGGTGCGTTCTTGAATGTCAGTAGAAAAACCATCAATTTGTTATGGAATTTCCAGCGGAAGTTTAGTTTATCGTCTCATTTTCCAAACATAACTTCCATCACGTATTTGATATTTAAGCTCTCAAACACAGTTCAGGTCAAGACGAGGGGACGATAATACAGTCAGAAGTGGTGTACAGCTCAACGAAAGTATTATAAGAAGCGGAAGTGTTGGAAAACTTACAGTATTCCTTTTCTGGGTCTTTCTTTTACTTACAAACCGGAAAAAATACCCAAAAAAAAAAGAGTATTAAAGTGATGAAAACAGTCTAAAACTTGATCTAATAATTTTCAAGTGGTGTACAAATTTAAGGCATTCTATCTTCCCTTTGGGTCAAGAGACATATGATATTGTTTTGTACACTTTGACACATAATATGTGTTGATAGAATTTCTCTTTTGTCCCACACAACGTCAAACATCTGCCGGATTTTCCTGTTTACACTCGAGCAACTTGTAAATTCCTTTCTCACCGTCTGTTTTGTCACTTGAGGATATTTTTCTTGGAAGTCAAACACTCAAATTTCGCACGAAGGAGTCAAATAAATCACCTTCAATGTGCTTCCCTTGAATCATTTTTATTTTATGATGTTTTTTTGGCATAATATAATGCCAAAAAAATAACTCATTGTGTTGTACAATTAATGTGAGGAAGAGTAGTTGTTGAAGCATATTGGGAAAACATTTAAGTGTTGCACATGAGGAAGAAGGAAAGAAATAATTTGCGGTTCATTGAAGAGTTTTTCTCTAATTAATTTGTTACTTTTTCCATGTCGATATATATTTTTTCATTATATCTTTCTACGAGGGGGAAATATTATGGTCGATATTTTCTTATTGTTATTTTTCTAGGTTATGTTATGTTATTTAAGATCAAATTTGTCTTCGGAATAACATCGGAATAACAATTTAAAAATATTAACTGGAAACTGTTGAAAAAAAGGCGTCAAATCATCACAATTTTAACGAGACTTCACGAATACTATTTCCCCCTTGGCTTTGCACACTTGGAAGAAGAGAGCTGAGACAAAATTACGCTCTTTTGAGTCTCTTGTGTTGTGAAACTGTGACGATTTTGTCACGTGCTTGAGAAATAAAATTAATTTCTCTCTATGTTAGAGATATTCAAGAGGACTAAAAATAGCTGTTAATAGTAGTTCGACACATGAGGACAATCGTGAAGGAGTTTTATGAGTCGCTGGGGAAATTATTGAAAAGTGCCAATGAAAATTGTCAGTTTTGGTGTTTGGAAGGAAATTCTTGGAAATATTATAGAATGTGGGTCACTTTAGTCAATCATAGAAGCGAAACTTTCTTTACCCACACGTTTTGTTATAGTGAAAAAAGAATACAAATTCACATTTTCTCTCTTTATCCCATTTTTCCACCTATTATTTACACAATAAAATGCACTCACACACAATTGTGTGATAAAAATCTTAGAGTTTGTGGCATAGAAAGTGCATGGAAATCACCTGAAATTCACCTTCGGAACTCTCTTTGCTCGCTATTTCCAATCCTCAATCCACTGATTTGTTGGCCACCGGAGAAAAACACTCTCGACTCTATATAAAAGTTCAACTCTAACTCGTTATGTCTCTGTTTTCTTCTCTCTCTCTCTCTCTCACTTGCGGCACTAAAACTTCTTTTTGTGCACTCTCTCTCCGCCAAGCAGAAAACCAACTTCAACACGTAACACAATTCGCTATTTTCGCTGGATTATTTCACCACAAAAAAAAAAGAAAATCACAAACATCCAACACTGAATCCAGAATCCAACATCTCACGATTGAGAACAGACGAAAAGTCCTCCTGAGACCGTCACACCACCTGCTGAAGAGCTGCAGCGTTGTCGAGGAAGTACAGAAATACTGTGTTGGGGAATATTTAGAAGAGCAGCGCAGGCAAATGTCGAGAGAGCGACGGCGAAGCAACGTGACCCACCGCAGCAGACACTCAATGAACTGACTTGGGGATTTCTGTCTCACTCTCAGCTCAGACACACCGCGACTGTGAGTGACTGTGTGGGAAAATGTTGAGGCAGCAAACACTCAAGGGGGAGACAATGCAGTTGGCGATGGTGTACAGAAGATTTAAGAGTTGGAAGCAATGAAATAGTTGCAATATTCACTTCTTAAATGGGTTTTCATTCAGAATTTACAAAGAATTTCATGAATTTCGGCCAATCAACCTGATTTTAAATTACAATATTTCTTAGTTTTTATTATTTTTAAATATTTCATGGCGTCAAGATGGCGCACATAAGGATATTTTTTAGGTTATGCTCAACTAATTACTCTCTTAAGTCCTTATATTGTCCCTCTTCCTCCTTTCTTCTCATAGATATTTACATCAAGAATCGAAAAGACTGATATTTCGCAACGTCACGTGTCTTGTCTTAAGACCCAGTCACAATTTGACGGTGTAATAAACGAAAATCCCGTGTAATAAATAAAATTAAGTGACTATAATCACTAAATAATAACTAAGAGGACACAAATCTTGCGCCTGAATTTGAATTATTTCAAAAACTCCTGAATATATACAGAAAGTACTGAAAATCTTATGAATTCAACATGGAAATTGCGGTGTACATATTTCAGCTGAAATTTCTTTCCGTTGCAAATACACAAGAAAAGGTGTGTTCAATTGAAAGGCATACGAAAACAACACATTCTCAAACTCATGGAAACGGAACTCTCTGTCGTGCAAGTCGCCGAGAGAGAGAGAGAGAGAAGCGAATGGGATTCTGGTCGAGGTCTCTCGACTGTGACTCCATCAGTGCATTTTAGGCAGTTCTGCCCACATGAAAAACCACAAGAAATCACTCAAAGATCACCAAAAAAGTCCATGAAACCCAATGAAAAAAGGACCTGTAATTGAGAGTATTGTTTTGGGAATTTAATAAAAAGCTGTTTGGTCGAAAATTCAGTCTTTTTCCTCAAAAAGAATCAACTCAACACTGCAAGAACTGGTTTTCCTACATCTAATCATCGCGAAGAGGCCAAGAATCAACAATTGCACGACTTAAGACGTTCCCAACTCCGTTCCTGTGCGCTTTTTCATCGCCACTCTTCGTGGTTTTCTTGCCTGCGCGTGTGTTTGTGTGATGGCCATTGAGGTAATTCAGCCACAGCGCGAACAGGTAGTGAGTCAGGCGAGCAAATGTCAGAGAAAGATCCCATTGGAATGCAGCTTGCAGGCAGAAAAAGACGAACATCGTGTGCGCAAGAATATTCTCTCTTGACCTGTGCGTGAAATTTGTTCTTCTTCATCATCATGTTTCATGGTGAATTTTCCGCAGAAATTGCATATATTTTGCAAACTTTACAAGCGAAATATTTATGAATGTTCAGCAATAAAATCAATATGTACAAATTTATGCAATCATTAACTTAAGAGTGATTTTTTCTTCAATAGAATCTTATTTTTATGGATTATGCAAAATCATGAGATGATCAGGAAGATCAAGAACGCAAAATAAGACAATCGAGAAAATAAAGAAAACTGAGATATGTGCTAAGAAAAACCGTTGAATACCTCTACATCCAAGGGGGATATAATATGATCGATTCTTCTATGTCGAAAAGTTCTATTAAAAAAGTTCTTAGTTAGTTTCCCGTTGATTCTCAGTGATAAAACAATAAATTAAATTCCGTTTAAGTCAAACATAGGTCATATAAAAGACACGTAATTTATTAGCGACTGCCAAATTCTTTATTGACCATTTTTATATGAGATATATGTAATAGAAGATACGCTTCATCAACGCAAATTTACTTATTATTAACCGAGTTCCTAATAGAGGGATTTACATGTAGGATAAAAGTGCGGATCTGCATGGGTTCTAAAGTGATGTTCCACTTTGTGATGTCATCTGGAAGCCTTTGAGCCGGATTAAATTGGAGCTCCTCGGCCGCTGTTTGACGCTTCTTCTTCCCAAAGACAGAAGCATTGTCAGACTCTTGATCAGGCTTGAACGTGAATCGACTTTCGATATTCTCCTGAAGACGTTGATTACCAGCCAGTGTCATTTCCTCAATATTGTTGATATCGAAGTTCAATCCAAAGACGTCCTTGAAGTTGAAGGTGACACTCTTGGAATATTCCGGATCGTCTGTGTGCTCAAGGATGTGTTCGAAGCGCACGAGGAAGCTTTGCTCATCCCAGGGCTCAAGAGTCAGGAGCTTCACATTTTGAGGCAGAGACAGAGTCATGCCGGACCAGAGATGGCTGGAGATCTTACGCCAGTCTTCGTACTCATAGGAGGATGCGTCACTGAAGAAGAGCCAGGGCGAGAGGAGCTTCTCAGCCTGCAGAAAGCGCTCTCGTGCCGCCATAGTCGGAACACTGTCCAGTTTCCCGAAGAGCAGGAAGTGCTTTCCTCTGATGGGATTAGGATCATTGAGAGGTTCACCTACGCCAAAAGCGTCATCATGAAGCAACCGACGATGCACCATTAACTCAACTGCGCCATCTTGAAGACTACTGCCACCCTGAGCGCGATCCGTGAGGACGGAAAGTCTCTTCTCTAGATCCTCAATTGCAATATTCGTTGTTACAGGATAGTAGTTTCCAGATATCTTCTCTTGAAGCAGCAAATTCCACGTTTCCCTTTGATTTCTCACGCGACGTATCATTTCGCGGCCATTGGAGTCCGTATAGAATGTCCTAGAGCTCGCAATGTCAGACACAAAACGCGAGACAATCTCCTTCCCAATTCTATCTTTAACCGGAATTGTGTTGATCAACCATTCAAATTCTACGTGGTTGTAGTCTCGATAGACCCTAACAATCTGACTAACCCAGTCGTTAAAGATCTGATGCACCTCCTCAACTAGCGGACCTTTGATCACCTTAACGCTCACCTGCTTCGCTACGAGACGCTCAGAACTCTTCGGTTTGAAGACATAGGCTCCTGAGTTACGATTACCCGCCATCCCATTGCCTCTGTCGGCTCCTTCGTAGTAGAAGAAGTTCTGACTCAGTTTGTGCTTAGATCCGTCTGCCAAGGAAATGCTGCTTACGAGTCCTTCTGCGTCAAACACAACACTTAAGTACTTATTCCCAATTGTAACCACATCACTGTCTTTAGGCGACTCCTGAAGTCCATCTGAACTTATCTGATCAAATGCAATCTTCGGAGAATCACTAGATTCTTCATGCGAAGGAGTGCGAACGATAAAGAAGGATTTGTAGCCCACTGGCGGGATTTCTGTTGCCAAGAACACCAATTCACAGCCACTTCCTTGCTCAGGATGCAAAGCCGTGACTTGCGGCGGCACAGAAACAATTTGATGTGAAATTGTAACTGATCTGTGATCAATTACTTCGTAAGAATAGTTTTCATTAACAGGAATTCTGACGTAGTGACTCGTTGATTGCGCCAAAGCGTTGTAAACTGTCACCATGAACTTCTGCTTGGTTTCGGAGATTTCACAGTGCGAAACATTGAGCAGAAGACAGCTATCAAAGTCAAACGTATCTCCTTTCGATAGCTGATTCAGGACGATTTTCGCTGAATCAGAACATTTGTTCAAAGCTGAGGAAATCTTGACTGTATAGTCCTTAGTAACGTGCTCCTTGGATGTTCCTGTGACAGCATCGTGATGCTGCAAGATGCCCATGACTTCACTGAAGTAGTCCAAGTGTGATTTTAAGGATTTCTCAGATTTCTCCGCTGCAAATGTCGTCAATTGCTTGCAAATCTGAAGAAAGTTATTTCCAATTCTCTCTAGACGCTTCAAGGCTGGCTTGGATGTGTAATATCCAGTCCAGAAGGAGTGAAGATCAGAAGCATAAGGAATGAAGTCATCAGTCTTCGTAGGCCAAGTTATCTGAGCATCGTGAAGGGATTTAAGATAGCAACTTGGAGTTGAGTAAACCAAATTGAAATCCGATCCATTCTTCTGCGCTTCATTAGCGTATCTAGAATATACCAAGAATAGACGGTTTGGAACGTAGTTTGAAATGAAAAGGACGTGATAAGCAAACGCTTATTGGTGACAACTAAAAATCTGATCAACCCGGCAAACCCTGTTTTAATAGAATAATTTCAAACCACCATAACTCCGGTTTTAAAAGAAAACCGCGCTACAAGTCCATTTACAAGCGACAGACGGACGGACGGACGGTCAGATTTCGCCATATTTGCAAGCCACATGATCGCAGGATCAAGACTGTCGTGAATCTGTGAGTTTGGCATGAAACTTAGTTACCTGATGAGTTTGTCTAGATTCTTAAAGTACACATTGGCGTCCATGTAAGTGAAATCCCCTCCGCTCGTGATAATGATGTTTCTTGTACGATAACTCCGGGATTGTTGTGAAACGTATTTGAAGAATGAATCCAGCTGAATGTAACGATGATTAGTGATCTAGAAACTCACTTGCTGTGCACGATAAACTTACTCTTCTATCGATATTGTAGTCCTGACTGTCAGGATCATCTATCATTGGTTCATCTGAGCACAGAATGTCAAAGCAAAAGCCAGGCGGTGGGCCATAATTATTGTACAAAACGCCAGTGAAGAGATCAGAAGCCGCTCCTAAATTTGCACTTCCTCTCCAAATCATCTCCGCCTCCTTCTTCTGCAGTCTCTGTGTCTTGTCTGCACACGGAGGAGACACATAGTCAGACATTGGCTGTATTGTAAAAATTACATGAGTCTTATTAATGGTAATTTGCAATTTACCTTGATAATCCAGACGCCCGAAGAACATCCCATCAAAGCCCATTTGAGCGAAAAGCGATGCCATTTCTCGAGTATGGCCAAAAGGATCAATTTGCCAGCCGACGCGTGGACGTGCACATTGTCCAAAGGTGTCATTCAATCGTCTGCGAAGATAGAAATCATCTACAAACTGCTGAAATCTCAACAGCAAAGTGTAAAAGTGCAGGTTCTTACTTCAATCCATATGTGAACTGATCTATGACGGATTGGTAGTGGACAATAGCCTCATCATTCATACTCCAAGCGCCCCCAATGAACTCCAGGCGACCCTCTTCCACCAGTTGCTTCACCTTATCTCGCAGATCCGACGTCTGCTCGCGCCACCACTTGAAAAAGAACGCCGACTCCACGTAAATGAAGCGACGTTCGGGATCAGCGAGCAGAGCTTGCACAACAGTGTCCAGGATGTACTGCACGCCGGCCTTCTGGATGTTGCTGCGACTCCCATAGTAGTACTGATCCACAGTCTTGAGCCATCCCACGTCGTCGTGCGTGTGCGGCACGATGTGAACGTTGATTCTCGAGGGATCGAGCTTGGGACAGCTCTGCAAAGCACGCACAATTCAGTCAAGATCAACCAAGACTCTAAATTCTCCAACTGAACCTACATCATAGCCGCACTGAGGCGTCCGAGATCGGCCGCTGGAAAACGCCACGGAAACACAGATCACTGTAGTCAGACACAGAAGCAGTGGAAGAACTTTCATGTTGAGCAGTTGAATCGCCGTCCAAACAGTCGAAGTGTACAGCAACAACTGAAGAAAATCCATTTTGGAGCCACTTATAATCCAGAGAATGGCAAATTCATCCAAAGTGTCCACAAAGTCCCGTTTTCGTCTTTATCAAACAACTTAAGAACGGCATTTTCCCCATTTTCCACGAAATCTACTCATTAATCCATAATCTGTAATCATTATTCGAAAATTTGTAATCTCTATGAATTCGTATAAAGCAAAATCTCTTGAATTAAATGTACGTTGACCATTTATTCTAATTTTCTAAATAAAATATTTCGAAACTGATGATAATTCAAGTTAATTTGAATGTAGAATTGGTAAAACATACAATTTTGATAAGAAAAAATGTGGATAAGCACACGTTTCGCGCGTTCTTACTTATGGTATCCAGTTGGGATTAACAATTTTTCACTTCCATGGCCAACTGGATTTAGTAAGATGGAAAGAAAGCATGAAAATTTTCAAATGCAATATAAAATTCAACTTTTGAAATTCAAATTGTTATAACTCTGATTCTATGGCTTCGACAGATAAGTTTAACACCATTTTGGAAACGTCTCGATCTGGAGTATCGATATTAGATATTATCATTTTCTCATAATCTCAATCTCAAGAATGATAATTTAGGCCTTGAAATTATTTTTCCGAAAATTTTCTAGGTGATTTTGCTATTGAATCAGTAATTTGAGTTTATAGCCAATCTTGACAACTAATTTTTTTTTCTAGTAAAAGCTTCTAAATGAACTATTTGAATATTTATTGAACCCTTTTGTAGTCCTAAATAAGAAATTATTGAGTTGATTTTGAATACAATAGCTGTGATTTTGCAGAAGGAATGCCGAAGCACGCGCTTTTCGCCGCAATTCGCCGCGTGTTTTGTGTGTGTCAGAGTAAAAGTTGGGTTAGGGAGCATTGTTTTGAAGCTCATATGCAATTTGCTGCCTTATTTGTGCAGAATTGCGACGGGAAATTCTAGTTTTTCCGTGTATTTAGGAAGCATGATAGCCATTAGAGTACTTCAGCCTGTGAAATGTGTTAAATCACTGAATTCTCGTCTTTTCTGCAGCGCCAAGAAGGTTTGCAGAGAAGCGCGCGCTAATGTTTTTCCCGAGGAATTCATCCGGTTATTTGGTATTTTCAGCCCACCTGGCCCAGGAAAATCTTCTCCGGTATCCAACCGACGGGTGGACTTCACATTGGGAACTACCTGGGGGCGATTTCTCAGTGGGTGAATCTGCAAAATGCCGGCGAAGACGTCACGTACTGCATTGTGGATCTGCACTCAATCACGCTGCCTCAGGATCCTGCCGGCTTGAGGGAGAACATCCTGGGCGTGACGGCATCTCTATTGGCTTGCGGCATTGACCCGAAGAAATCCACGCTATTCCTCCAGTCGGACGTGAAGCAGCACGCGGAATTGGGATGGATTTTGGGCTGTCACACGACAATGGCTCGCCTTGGGCATTTGCCGCAGTTCAAGGAGAAATCGGCGAAGGTCAAGGAAATCCCGCTGGGATTGTTTGTCTATCCGGTGCTTCAGGCAGCAGATATTCTACTCTATAAGTAAGACACACGAAGAAATCCCTTCTTCCCCTTCAATTGTTCCAATCGTTCCAATAACCGTGGAATTTGTCTCCAATACGGCCTCTGCATCTCAAGCATATGCAGTCTTGGCCAGCGTGCGACACATGCTCGATGATCTGCTCTGAAGTGCAGAAAATCAAGGAGAAGGAATCGGGGAGGACAAATATGACGAAATTTAGCATTTATTCGTGATTGACTGTTTCTCCATCGTAAATAGATTCGTAGCGTCTAAACGGTAAAAGCTAAAAGTCGTCGAAATACAAGAAATCCTTGTCCGCCATTTTGAACATTCCTAGAACGAAATTTTCCTCCTTTTCTCAGCTCTTATAGCATGAATCGGCTCCAAATTTTACTATACCATAACTGGCACTAAGACCTTTGCAACGAACCGCAACTTAAGGACTAAGGGTTCTGCCGAACCTTAAATTTAAGGGTCCAAATTTAGAAAATCAACATGCGTCGTTTGTAAGCTTGCTCATCACTCCATTCCTTCTTCTCGTGCAGGGCGACTCATGTTCCTGTCGGGGAGGATCAAGTGCAGCACCTACAGCTGGCTCAGCACCTCGCTAAGACGTTCAACACCAAGTTTGGCGCCACATTTCCGCACTGTCACGCTCTGGTGGCGGACGACTTGAGCAACAGGATCAAGAGTCTGCGTGAGCCGACGAGGAAGATGTCGAAATCAGATGCGGATCCCAAGGCGACAATCCTCCTCACCGACTCGCCGGACGCTGTGGTGGAGAAGGTGAAGAAGGCCGTGACAGACTTCACGTCCGCCGTGACGTTCGATCCGGAAAACCGTCCGGGCGTCTCGAATCTGATCACAATTCACTCGCTGATGAGTCAGTGGTCGCCCGAAGAAATCTGCGAGATGAACACGGATGTGGACACGGGAAAGTACAAGGCCAGAGTGGCGGAAGCTGTGGTGGAACACTTGACGCCCATCCGGCTGAGGATTGAGGACTTCCGGCGCCATCCCGACTATCTGTGTCAAGTGCTGGACGAAGGAGCTCAAGTGGCCACTGAGCTGGCAGAGGCAACGATTCAGACAGTCAAGGAGAGACTGGGACTGGGCAAAACGACTCATTCGCGGCAAGAGTGCAAGAAAATAGAGGAAAATTAGTAAAAAAAAAAGTATGATTTGTGAAGATAGGAAACCAAAAAATTGCTTTTACAACTGTTTAAGATGTGTTTTCTTAACCATTCAATTTGCATAAAAACGACGGAAATAACGAAGCTTAAATGCCGTTTGTCTCGGCTCCTAAAAACCATTAAATTCAAATTTTATGTTTCCAAACAAGCATGAAACATCAGGATACACTTGGGAAATGCCCGGAATATCCGGGAAACTCTTTTTCTTCTGGCCAAATATGATTCAAGGACAAATACAGTTTCAGAAAGTGTTTTAGTATTTTTCTTTTCTCATTCCGAGCTAATATAAGGTGAATCGAAGGGGAAATGTGCAGGCGTGAAACATGCAATTCCCCGCCAAAACGGATGAAAGCGTTAATGGACAAGTTTCCGTTGGATTTTAAACCACTGGAATGCGCATTCCAGAGTGAGGGGAGTTTTGGGAATTTCCCCCTGTCATCTTTCCCGGATGTCACGCGGCTGTCAGTCAGTCGGCCAAGAACATGTGTTTGTATATGTAAAGAAAGTGATTTCTTCTGCGGTGCTGACCAGGGAAAATCACCCTTTTTCGTTCGTTTATTTGGCACAGAGGCAGCCCAGGACTGGGTCACGCGGTGAGAGACACGTGACAAGGATGAGCGAAGGAGGATGTCAGCACTTGGCGGCGTATTTCAAGGAATTCAACCGCGACTCCTTTCGCTTTGTCAATGCCTACTTCAGCGCGTGTGTGTCCAAGGAGGCTCGCCGCAGAAAGGTAAATAAACTCCCTCGTGGCCGCGAGAGCGCACGCACTCACACAGCATCCCTTGCAGGCTCTGTCGTGCCTTTGTTACGTGTGCGGTGGATCGGGTCCGCAGCTGTACGCGTGCCTGCACTGCATCTTCTTCGCCTGCCGCGGGCCACACTTTCTGGACCACATGACGACGTCCAAGCACTGCATCGGCCTGGAGCTCAGCCACAGTATGATCTACTGCCACATGTGCAGGGACTTCATCTACGATCGCGAGTGCCAGGATATCGCCAGGCAGCACCTGATGCGCGAGGCGCGCAGCCTGAACAAGAGCATCTCCTGGCGCCCCTGGATGCCCTCCAGAGTCGAGGTGGAGCTGCTGAGGAGCCACCCAAAGAGGCGAATGGTGACACCGCTGAGCAGCATTGGGCTTCGAGGCCTGCTGAACCTCGGCAAGACGTGCTTCATGAACTGCATCGTGCAGGCGCTCATCCACACGCCTCTGCTAAGGTCTGTTGACGCTTTGACAGCGAGTGGGCGGAGCATTTTAGTGGGCGGGGATGTAAGGATTTTTCCTTCGCTGCGAAACTTTTTTTTGCGACAAAGACGCAAAATTCAGAGCGTCTTATGGTGTTCCTATGCAATTTCGTAAGACAGTGTCATGTTTTCCACGTTCTTATGAATGAAATATGGAAACAATCGCTTTTTTTGCACACTGGAAACACTGAAAGAGATATTTGATAATTTGTAAAGTTTCATCAAAAAAAAGTTTTGTCATCATTTTGGAAAATCCTCAATTTGTAGCATGAATTACTCCACTTTCCCCTAAACAATCGTCTGCTGAAGTGTGCAGTCAAGAAGGACATTCTTCCATGGCTAATTAGATTCCAAGACTGCATTGACTTGTGCGGGAAATTGAATAAGGAAGTTCGAGCGGGGAAATTTAATTGCAATTTCCTTGCAGAGACTACTTCCTGTCGGAGAAGCACGAGTGCAGCATCGAGTCGAGCATGAAGTGTCTGGTGTGCGAGGTATCGCGTCTGTTCCAGGAGTTCTACTCGGGTGCGCGCGCGCCACTGTCGCTCCACCGGCTGCTGCATCTCATCTGGACGCACGCCCACCACCTGGCCGGCTACGAGCAGCAGGACGCCCACGAGTTCCTCATGGCCACGCTCAACATCATGCATCGCCACTGCAAGAACTCCGTGGACTGTGATAAAGGCGTCGTGCTGGCGGCGCCGCGCAAGGGCGCCTCCGATGGCGACGGCTCGATGCGCTGCAACTGCATCATCGACCAGATCTTCACGGGCCGCCTGCAGAGTGACGTGGTGTGCCAGCTGTGCAAGGGCGTGAGCACCACCATCGATCCTTTCTGGGACATCTCGCTGGACCTGGGCGAGACGCACCAGGGCTGCGGCCCGCCCAAGTCCCTCCTCGACTGCCTGGAGCGCTTCACGCGGGCGGAGCACCTGGGGCCCAGCGCCAAGATCGAGTGCTCGTCGTGCAAGAGCCACCAAGAGTCCACGAAGCAGTTCTCCATGCGCACGCTGCCAATCGTGGCGAGCTTCCACCTCAAGCGCTTCGAGCACTCGGACCTCATTGACAAGAAGATCTCCACGTTCATCTCATTCCCGGCCGAGCTGGACATGACGCCCTTCATGTCCCACAAGACTGACGGCCTCACGGACTTCCGGTACTCACTCTATGCTGTGATCAACCACACCGGCACGATGGAAACCGGCCACTACATCGCCTATGTGCGCCACCAGAAGGACGTGTGGGTCAAGTGTGACGACCACATCATCACCACGGCCACGCTGAAGCAGGTCCTGGACAGTGAAGGGTGAGACTCAGGCCGCCAGCTCAATGTTGCGCCCCTAAAACGCCCTCTCTCTCTCTCTCCCTCTTGCAGATATTTGCTGTTCTACCACAAGAAGATACTTGAATACGAGGGGAAAATCTGAGATCGCGCGTACTTTTAGTGTGTTTCAATGCGAAACAGTTTAGCCTGGAAACTTCTCTGGAATTGGCGTCTCTGCTGAGGCGCTCAAACATAATATATTTACAATTTTTAGAGCGTAGCGCATAACTGAAATTATAAGTAGCGTAGTTTTTTCTACATAATAAATTAAATTCAGCAATTGAAAGCCGTTGAATGAGACCGGCATTTTTAAATGTCCCTTCCAGCGGCGCCTTCCAGTGCTTTCCAATCGGTTCAGTTGCTTTTGACGTGCCAAAATGTAAACAAAACGAGATTTTGCGAGGAGTGTTGTTTATACGATTGAAAACGGGATTAAAAATGCCCAAAGTCGTCTCGCGGAGTATTGTGTGCTCGGATTCGAAGGATCAGGAGGAGTACAATGAGACGAAGCCACTGAACATCTATTACTGCTTGTGTGGAATGATGTCCTTGATATTGGGTGAGTTTTCCCTTCGCATAGGCGACGATCTCTTGATGAAATCTGTCTAATTCCCAGATTGCCAGATCGAGAAGCTGCCCTTGCGCCAGGCGGACGGCGCCAGAGTCATCGATGGCTCGCATCACGCGCACAAGATCACCAGCGTTCCGGACGAGACGACCTACATTCGGCGGCCGAAAGGGATTGAGCGACAGTACAGGATGAAGTGCAAGCGCTGCTCCCTGCCGCTCTACTATCGGCACAGCAACGGCAGCAACGTCACGTTCATCTTCAGGGGCGCTCTGGTGTCCTCGCGAGTGGCCACAGATAACGTGCCGACCATCGACGTGTTCCAGCAAGTGGCGCAGTCGGCGCCGCGGAAGATCATGGTCACGAAGCACACGAAGAACATGGGCAAGTTCAGCTCGGTCACGGTGTCCACAATTGACGAGGAGGAGGACGAAATCGAGGCGGTGAGTTGTCAGCTAATTGAGATCAAGTTGCTTTGGGAAATTTCCGGACAAATTACAATGGAATTTAGCGCCTAAGGGGGCGTTTTAAAGTCCTGTTTCAATGTGAATTTGAAATCTTAGAAGCATAATTATGACGGTTAAAATTGGTTGTTCTAGTTTGGTCGTTGCCGTCGTGCTTATCTCGCTAATTTGCTAGCAGTCAAAGCATCTTGTAGAATTATCTAATTTTGATAGCTAAAGTCGAGAGATTTCTAAGAAAAAAACACGATCATAAATGTGTTGTCGCGCTGAAAACATCAATTATCATGGAGTAAATTAATCCAGTGTTTGGATCTATGAGGCAAGATAATACGGCATTTGCTGATGCAACTGATTTGTGTCTTTTCAGCGCGAAATCGCGGACAGTTACGCGAACAATGCGAGGATCATTGAGAAGCAGCTGCATAGGAAGTCGGGCAAGTTGGTGGAGAGCACACAGAAGGCGGAGAGCGAAGCTGGCCCGAGTCAGAGCAAAAAAGCCCGCGGAACTCTTATCGATATGTGAGATGAGCGCAGAAGAAAGAAATAGAGATTTCACTGGGAAAGTGTTTATTGTGACCTCTTCTCCTTGGCCGAAGCGCTTGAGCGATAAAGTGTATGTCAGTACTTGACCAGAATCTCGTCCACTGGCTTCCTGTGGATGTCCGGCACCTCGCAGTCGTCCGCTGCGTAGCCCACGGGCAGCAGGACGAGCAGCTTCTCCTGTGCAGGTCGGTTGAGCAGGGATCTGAGCGCCGGGCCGCAGTTGAGTGGCGTCGTGACGAGGGAGTTGAGTCCGGCGCTCTGGAAGGCGCACAGGAGAATGCCCACGGAGATGGCGACGGAGATCTCGTTGTAGTAGTGCTGCTTCTTCCTGCCGTCCTCGCGGAAGCTGTAGCCCTGCTTGAACACCAGCACGAGGTGCGGCGCGTCCGTGAGGTACTCCTTGATGTGATTCGTCCTCAGCGGCTGCAGATCCGTCGTCCACTGGCGCGACATGCGTTGCGCGTAGTTCGTGTACTCCTCCTGCTCAATGATCTCCCGGATTTGCTCCTTCGTGTCGGCGTCCGACACCACGCAGAACGTCCACGGCTCCGTGTGAGCGCCACTTGGCCCAGTGCCTAAAAATAGAGGCGGCAGAGTCAAGAACGGCGATGTTATCGCGGCGGCGCGAGACAATGGCGCGCGATAAGGATTACGCAGACCACCAGCAGATTTGGTAATTGTGGGGGCGGCATCGAGTGGGGCTTTCCACGTGCTTATCGCGAAGTTTACTAGACATCTAGCGAGACGAGGGAAGAATATCGGCCCTAGAAACTCACCTGCGGCGTGAATGCATCTCTCCACGAGGCGCCAATCGACTGGACGCTTGCTGTACTTCCTGATGCTGCGGCGGTCGTTGACCATCTCGTAGAACTTGTCAATTCCTCCGGGAAAGGTCACGCTAATGCCCTTGTAGGGCCGATGACCCACGCCCTCGAGCGCCGGCGTAAGAACGTCTGCCTCATCTGCCGGCAAAGTTGTGTTAATTGAAACCAATTGAAATCCCCAATTAATCCAGTCACTCCTCACAATTAACATCATCCTCGGTGACCTTCTTCCTGGACTCCGTCTCGGATGGGTCGAGATCTCGCTCCACGGGCTCCTGGTGTGGCTGCTTGGGCTTCCGCGTGAAATTCAGCAGGAAGAGACTCAATCCGAGCGTGAAGAGCGGCAAGAAGTACTGCCAATACTCAACAATGATGTTCTTCTGCGAGAAGAGATCCATTTTCACTCACTTTCGGGCACCAAGTGAGGATTTCTCATGCTGAGGCGGTGGTTAAATTTGAGCGCCATGAACTTCCAGGGCTTGAGAACCGCTTGGAAGGCGACTGGCTGGAAGTTCCAACGCCACGAAACGTCATCACACATTGTTTTTCCGGCTGTTTCCAGGCATCTCTCGAGTGTGGCAGAGGCAAAGCTGCGATAATTCACGCCGTCCGTCCAGAAAATGCCATAGTGCGTGTGCCAGAGGCTGTTAAACTGTGAAAGAGAGCAATCATGCCGAAATTCCCGTCGCTGACGACAATCCTGGGCGTCGTGTTCATGTGCTACATCGCGCACTCCATTTGGGTGCTGGCGCAGATCTTCTCGGCACCTGTTTGCACACGCCCGCCCTGCTTCACGTCCATCCTGGCCAAGGAGGAGCTGCCCAAGCTGCAGATGGCCCTGTTCACCTCCACGACTAAGAACCCCATCACCACTGAGATCACAGAAGTGGCCACAGTGAAGCCCTTCGACTTCAAGGAGTCTTTCTCACGGTGAGTTCTTCACGGTTTCGTGGCGAAAATGATGGCGCAAGCTGAGATGTGTTCAGCTTGGATTTCCATCTCACTCTCTTGATATTGCTTTACAGTTTAGGTTCTTCGCTGTGTCGAAAATTGCTTCTCATTCTCTTTAGAATTACAAATATTAATACAGTTTCATGAATTTCACGTCCAGTGATGTTATTCTTCTTCTGTACTTAAAAGCGGCATAAAAATTATCGCCGCTGTGATAGTTTAAAAGCCCACTTTTCACCACTTCTTTCCAGGAATCTGAACATTGCTATCCCGGCGAAGACGCGCAGGAACGGGACACTGTTCATGCATGTGGTGTTGGCCGTGGACGACGGCGATCCGATCGTGTGGAATCGGCGCCGCGACGATCTGGCTGTGATCCACAGAATCGCGCTCACGGAGCACGTGGTGCCGAAGCACTCGACGTTCAACCTCATCACGGACGACGGCCAGGAGGCGGAGAAGAAGCCGCCGCAGCAGCGACCGGTGAGCCATCTGCGGACGCGTGTGCACTTTGGCATTCTGGCGGACAACATCAGTCTGTCGCAGCACGACATTCCAGCCGAGATGTCTGGCCTGGTGCGCGTCACCAGGCACAACGAGTACCTGCCTGTGTTCCAGAGCGATACGCTGAGGGACAGATTTGACGATTTGCTGCAGATCAAGCGCGGAATGGAGGCGTTCGAGCTGGAGATCATGTATGCGCCGCTGGGAATCGGCAAGTTCCGGCTGATTGCGCACGTGAATCACGCCATGCGCTCGCTGGAGGCGCTGGGCTTCAGCAAGAAGGACATTGACGAGGTGAAGGGCATCTTCTCGGACACAAACGTGTACATCCTGTGCGGCACGGTGTTCGTGGGCAGCATTCACTTGCTCTTCGACTTCCTGGCCTTCAAGAATGACGTGAACTTCTGGCGGCGCAAGCGCAACTACGCCGGCTTATCGGTGCGCACGGTGCTGTGGCGCGGCTTCAGCCAGGTGATCATCCTGCTGCACCTGCTGGACGAGAAGACGTCCATGATCGTGCTGATCCCCGTGGCCGTGGGCACGCTGATCGAGCTGTGGAAGTGCAAGAAGATCCTGCGCGTGGAGTTCAGCCTGCGGCGCGGCTTCACGGTGCGCCAGGAGACGGAGAAGCGCGTGGAGAGGCTGACGAAGGACTTCGACAAGCAGGCGATGCGCTACCTGAGCTACCTCCTCTATCCGCTGTGCGCGGCCGGGGCGCTGTACTCGCTGCTCTATCAGTCGCACAAGAGCTGGTACTCGTGGGCCATCAATTCCATGGTGAACGGCGTGTACGCGTTCGGCTTCCTCTTCATGTTGCCGCAGCTCTTCATCAACTACAAGCTCAAGTCCGTGGCCACGCTACCGTGGCGCTCGTTCATGTACAAGGCCTTCAACACGTTCATCAACGACATCTTCGCCTTCATCATCACGATGCCAACGGCCCATCGGCTGGCGTGCTTCCGCGACGACGTCATCTTCGTCATCTACCTGTACCAGCGCTGGCTCTATCCGGTGGACAAGAACCGCGTGGACACGTCTGAGCACATGGACGAGTACGAGGAGGAGCGGCGGGACAAGAAGAGTGACTAGAGTATTTGGCGCGCGTGTGTGAATTCAATTGATCGATTTGTTGGTCGGAAATTAAGTAATTTCCGGGATTATTAGCTTCACTTTGAATAAATTTACACCAATGCATCCCCGAATTGTATCAATTCTCGATGGTTTCGCCCCATTCTACGCGCGAGGAATTGATGATGACAAGACAAACTGCACTGCTAGGAAAAAAGGCCTCTCAGACAAAAGAGAGACCAATCAATCAATCATCTTAATCGCTTTTCTCGAGGGTGCGGAAAACTATTACATTTCCTCGGCGCTCTTCACTCTGGCACTCGCTGTATTCCGTGGGTGGTGAAAGTGGGTGTTAAATGCGTGGAAAAGACCTAAATATTTCCCTTAAATCAAACACAATTTAACACTGACTTTATAAATACATGTAATGATACTGTCGCTGTCAGGAAAATAGATCCACCTATTCTTAAAGGAATGATAATTTCTAGAAGAAATAATAATTAAAGTGTCTAAAATCGGTTAAAAGATTTGTAGTTTTAATTTTTTTTTTGTATATTAAAGCGTTTAATCTCAGAAGAGATAATTAATTTTGGCGGAAGATTAAAAATCGCATTCATTGAGTTTATTTTTCTCCGTTGTACACGTCTTATTTCTGTTTTTTCTCAATCTTAAAATCTTCAATTTAATCCGAACAAATGGAATTTAAATAAGAATTTCTGCATGAGATCTATTTTTCCTGACTCTACTGTACATAAATCCAATAAATATTGCAGAAAACCAAGTCGAAAACGCTAAGAGCGTGTCTTTATCCTTGTTGACTGCAAATTTACAATCATTTATGATTTCTATCACGCATTTTGGAAAAGAAGTTCCGAAGACATTTGACATGCTGGCATATCTCAGCAATTGACCTATTCACACCACGTGTCTTAGCTTTTGCGTCACATTTCAATCCTTTTGCCTTGGGAGTGAAGCCTGCGAGATTTGGGGCGAGTCCTCGGGGAGTCGTGCGAACTTGGGGTAATTTCTCAGTTGAGTGGAAAGGAGAGGCACGGAGTGATGGAAGAGAGAGCATCAAAGATCAAAAATATGCAATCAATTCCCATCGCTCGTACTTTCCCATCCATCAAGCAGATTTGTACCATTTTTAGCATATAATTTTCTCTCTCTCCCGCTGAAGCGGAAGAATCACGACTCTTGCGGTGGGGTTTAAATGTTTTGGGGTGTGAAATTCGGCGAAAATGGAATATTTTCTGCTGGCAAAGTGCAGTATTTTCGCTGAGGGTGGAATTAATGCGATGCCATTTGAGGGCATTTTCTACACTCTCCATCGCCAGAGTGGGGGGAAAATACAGTATAATTTCCAATTTTGGGCAATTTGTTATTGTTATATGATTGCGCCATAATCAATGGCAACGAAACACCCGTCCTGCTATCTGCGCTGCACGGCTGCTGGTTCTTTTAAAAACGGGGCGCCCGCCGCCACCCCCTGGCAGCCTGTTCTCGGGGAGAAATGCTGGAAATAAATCTAATGGAAGCATCGTTCAGCATCGAGGCACCCCCACACTATACATTGTCACCCCAAAATTGAATATTCTCCAATAAAATGCCTTATCTCTGGTGGTTGCCATGGCACCCTAAATGGCTCATACGCGCGCCCCTCGTCGCACCCTCAAGTGGATGGAGTTCCTCAGGAGCCCCTGAGCACACTGGCGGCGCTCCAAGTGGCGGCGCGAGCGAGACAGCCACAAGACGCAGCGCAGGACAGAGCGAAGTGGCGCACAGACGACGTCTCTGTCGCGCCAACAGTCCGATTTCTGGCAATGATGATGGAATTTGAGAGCCAAAAAAAAAGAATCATATAAGAATGTTTGACGAGTCTATGCTTGTCTCTGTCCAATGCGTTTGGCTCATGGCCTAGGCAGGGTCCTCGCCTCAGCAGACTGATATGTAGAGTTGCACTCTTCAAACCACGAAAGCTTACACTCAGTAGCGCAGTGAAGGCTGCAAATCAAAACTTTTTATCTTAGATTTTTTATTTTTGTATCACTCAATTTTATCATTTTTGTGTCAAAAATTATTTCACGATCTTTTCAGACACTTTTCTGTAAGCTTTAGTAATTATTTCCATCGCTAAACTAGTGGTTTTTAAATATCTGTCTGAATTTTATAGGATAATTCTTCGAACTGTCTATAATACTGTCATAGAATTACGAAATACAGAAGAATGAGATAGACGGAAAGTAGTTTATTGTGCAGTACTTTTACACAATACGAGTCATGTGAAATTTAGTGGACAAAACTTATGACATACTAATGGAAATTTAGCAGACATTCCATTGTACTTGGCACTACTGTGTACATATGTTTTATTCAAGGGAAATTTAGTCGTCTTTTGTCGTAAGACAAACAAATGACAGTCAATTTGGCTGCTCTGTGACCGCTTTGTTATGCGGACAAATGTACGAAAGTTTGATGGAACATAAAGGATTGTCATACGAATATCCACAGACAGACGTAGAATAATTATTTGCCTAAAATTTTGATATTTTTTATGATTATCGAAATGAATTTTCCTCTTGACAGACAAACGAATTGCGAATTGAGAAATTGGGAGGTAATTTCGGGAAAGTCTTCTGCTACGCCACTGCGCGCAGCCCATTTTCTGCGTCCGTGAGACTGGTGGAGAGATACAGCATCGCTCCCTTCCTCGTCATTCCAGTAATCCCCATCGCAGTGCTCGCCATGCCGTGAATGTGCATGCGGAGCGAGTCACAGTGTGTTATACTGACATTTTTAAACGAATGAAAGAGTCAATGTAATTACGGGGATGTTTGCGGGAATCCGCACTGATATTTAAGGAAGAGGAGGAAGATAAATTGGCTCCTTCTGTGCGATGGCACAGTGGTAGGCGGGGAGAGAGGGAGACCTTTCGCCATATTTTGTATTTCAACCCCGCAAGTCTAAGCAAGATACATTGCTGACAGAATGGGGGAAGAAATTGCCAGGACCCTGAGATGTGTGCCTCCGCCGGGGCCTCATTTATGTCTTGCGCCATCGATTGGGCAAATGTAGGAGTCTTCAGAGAAATTTCATCACACACCCCGGCAAATGAGATGGGATTACGGCTGCTTAACGTGTTTCACCATTCCTTGGCGTTATTAAATACCACTCGGAACACTTTCAATTCCAGGTGGATCTTCTGCTTATGTAGTCCACACAATCGCACTTTGCGCCATGCAAAATATTCGCTGCTTCTCGCTTTTTTGCGTCTCACTTGCTTGTATGTCATGTCAAAAGGCATTCTTCAGCTCATTTTCATTTAACACGTCGTAAATGCACGAAGATGTCTGCAACAACCCCTTAAATATGCTCATTATTACTTTATTTATGAACTCTATAATGGCATAATTCTAGAGAGTGAAACTTTGTAAATTAATTAAACTCAAGTGCATCATAATAATTAGCTTAGAAAACTCCCAAATCACATTAAAGAGACTCATATTATTCTTTTGTGCCGTATTTTTCTGGGATTTCATATGGCAAATCCGATTGCGCATCTAATTTTCGGCCCTTGTAAACTTTAAAAACATTGAACTTTAATCTAAAATTTGAAGTTCAGTAGTTTTTCCGTGTTAAAATTCTTCTAATATACTGAAAAGTAATTCAAAGTATTCCATGGAAGATCAGAAAATCACCGAAAACACTTGATTATTGATTATGGAAATGAAGGGTTGTGATATTTCCACATGTTTAGGAGACAAAAGGCAATAAATTATATTGGATTTATTACAATTTTCCACTTGAATCTGTATAGAATTTCACCCCATTTTTCCGCATCTTTCGCTGTGGCAATTCAATTATGCATGACCGCAGTGAAATGTTCTGCAATTATTGAAACAATCTGTTCATATTTTTGCTAAGAAAAAATTGAAAAATCGCTTATTTTTGAATTTTGGCCAAATTTGCGCGGCTGAAGCAAATCTTCCATCGACATGTCACAGTGTCATTCCTCAGGATCGACCCCTCTTTGGCCTGATGAGCGAAACCCCCTTCATAAATTCGAGACACCCTCGCATTGGCAGCATATTCCAATTTCTTCAAAATCAGATAATCCATTAATAATAATAGATAAATCTCTCCAATGTATTGCTTTATGAGCTTAGCACACAAATATATGGAGACATATGACTTGACTATAGCGCACAGTATCTCGATTGTGAATATTATTTCGTCCACTAGAGCAATTTTCGAAGGGGGTTGAAATTTCGTTGGTGCGCCTCGTGAATAGATTGTATAAATTGTGACAGATTTTTCTATTAAATCTCAATGTGCCGTGACAATTGTGTTTTGCCCTAATTTGTTTCGCTGATTTCGGTGCGAAGATTGCGTATTGCCAGCCGGGAGATTTATTAATATTAAGAGGGTTGCGGGCATTGATAAATACAAGAGGCAGGAAAAAATAGCGCAACATTAAGGGGTTTTCTGGGGGGTGAATAGAATTTATGAAGATTATCATTAACTTTTTGAATCAACTCAATCAAATGTGGGATATCGAGTTGATGGTTTTCGGCGTCTGAGATCAAGAATAATGCTGTGAATGGGATTAAGTGGCATATTTGGGTGGGTTTCGAAAGAATGTGCGGAAAGACAAGTCAAGTCAGGGGAGGGCGGGGTGTGAAAAGGAATTAAGGCCGTAAAGCTTTAGATATGATTTAATTTTGTCTCAGAAACGTTTATGATTGTGTAGTTTATTTTCCCTGCCTGACGAGAAGAGAATTTTGCTGGTGAAATCTGCCCCACTCTCTCCTATTTTTCATGTACTGCGATTGCATATTAACAACGTTTGCCATAGTATCTCAGAGAAGATGGCAAAGTCTTGACAATGCGACGCAGTAAAAAAGCCCCAAACTTTCACCGCAAAATGCTCGACTTCCTATCAAATATATAAAGTTTGAAATTGCAGCGCAAGGCTCTAGTATAAAATTTGCCAAGTACGTGCGAAATGAAGAGATATTAAGTAAGATTTCCATTCCCTTTTTTTTTGCTCTTCTATGGCGCGTCCCGAAGTTTCACTCAAATGTAATTGGCAACTTTTCACCGCCACATCAAAAATGCGATCCTTG